TTGACATCTTTTTTTAGTCTGTTAGGGTAAGTATCATTTTTCAATTGTATTTTATCTATAGGTGAACAGTAACTACCAGGCGTCGTAAATGTTTCTACAGTTTTTACTGCTCTTACCCCAAGAGACCATATTATTTTCTGTTATTTGATTCTCTTCATCACTAATCGTAGTTAAATCAACTACTGTCTCTGTTTTCTCGTTTAAAGTTTGAATAGGTTTTAATTTTTTCATATTTGCCATTAAGCTGCCTTGCTTAAAATAACCTATTTTTTTATTTTTTCTAGCTCTCCACTGTTCAGCGTCTTCATCGTCGCTCAGATCTGTGACAGTATCTAATGATATGACTCTTTTGTTTTCAGGCACGTCACCAAGGGGGGGGGGCCTTAGGGGGCCTGGTCCCCTAAGAAAAGTCAGTGGCCCCGAACTGGCCCCCTCAATTTTATTTTCAAATATAATGGCGTTTGATTATTCCGAATGGCCGAATCAAAAATCGTATTAGGTAGGTACATAAATTAAATTCCAAGATTTTATTTTATAAGTCGTTATTATACTCGTCACGGACTAAAGTATCTTAGTATATGCGTTAGTCCGTAAAATTCGTCACTCGACAATTTGAGATAAGAGACAAGAGTGATAAGATTAGAGTGAATTACACGTCTAAGAATAGATTGAAAACTAGAAATTCCAAATACGGGTCTCGAACGTGCATTTGATAAACACGACCGTCGACCACAGACAACAAGACTACAATAGTTTATATTCCACTATTCCAGTAATTGTGATAGTGATCACCATTTACTACAATAACAAATAAACATACCTCATAAATAACAATATAATATTATTGTGTATCGATTTGTATTGATTCATTATTCATAATCAGGCAGAGGCACAAGTCACAAGTAGCAATACTACAGTCTACAATGAAGATAAGTATAATAAGTTATTTTAATAATCCAAAAAACTTAAAAACTGAGAAAGGTATGTACGATAATATTATACACACTTCAGGTACATTTTATCTACCCAAGTCTTATTTACCTACATTTTATATTTACTAATTATTAGACTAATTTTCTTAAAGCTGTATATTCTATCATTAATAGGTACCTACATATTATTAATCCGTAGTTTTTTAAATTTTTAAGACATTTTATTCTATTATATTGTTGAATTTGTAGTATTTTAATTTTTTAATTATTAAAATGATTATTATTTTATAGTGTTTATGTGCATTATACTCTTTGCACACTCTTATTAATCTCAGTATTTAAACTATTTTTACAAAGTATAATTTAGGTAGGTAGTACTAAATATTTCTGGACTTATGGTATTTACTATTTAGTATTGTACTGTATTGTACCTGTTACCATTCGGTGGATACATTATTTTCATAAATAATTGTTTTTATTTTATTTTATTCATGAAATATTGATTTACTTATTTGTTGATCATAATATAGTTGATAATTAATACTAATTTGTACCTGCCTATTTATTATATTGTTATTATTATTATTATTATTATATGTAATGTAACCATATAAGACTTGGATAATTTAGATAACTTAACAAAAAGATAATTTTAATAAATAATATGTAAAGTCCAATAATCATGTTTTAGTTAATGAAGATGATATTAGCAAGAAGTTATTATGTGAAGCATCTACTTCTACAGAGATAAAAGAGATAAATAAAGGTTAATGTTACAGTTGCACTGTTGCGCATACTTATACTTTATAATAATTCTTACATAGTTTCATATTATCTACATACATATTTAATATTTATACATTTATTTATTAATACTTATTACTTTTAGATGTTGAAGATTTCAACAATAGCTTTGGTCACTTTGTGACTTGTAATTATGAAGAAGAACAACTACAAGACTCAAGTAGCAATGATAGCAACAATAGTGATGAACATGTGAGTTGTGCTACAATTGTTGATAGTGTTGATATAAATTCTTCTATAGATTCTTCCTCTTGTACACTTGAAATATCAAAAACAATACCAGGTCCAAAAGATCTTGCTCAACATTTGGATGATGGACCAAAACAACCCAAATTAGTATTTTATCCAAAAACAATGTTTTCTAACAGAATGAGACATTTTTCAGATACATGGTACAAAATGTTTAATTGGATCGAGTATAGTATAATGGACGATGGAGTATTTTGTTTTCCGTGTCGTTTTTTTTCTAAGCATTATGACTTACACACTGTGTTTATTACAATTGGATTTAAACAATGGAAAAAAGCTTTAGACAAAAGTTCAGGGTTTAAACGACATGAATCAAGTAGTGAACACAAAAAATGTCAAGTTATGTTTGTTGAATACACAAGTATGAAAAGAAAAAATATATCTGTATCAACTTTAATTAATGAAACTCATTTAAAGTTAGTAAAAGAAAATCGTAAATACATTCAGTATATTGGAAAAGCGTTGTTATTCACTGCAGTTCAAGGTATTGCTCAAAGAGGGGATGACGAAAGTGAAAACAGTGTCAATCGTGGTAATTTTCTGGAGCTTGTACAGTTGCTCGAATATTTCAATGATGATTTTAAGCAAAAAAGGCAATCACTTCCAAATAACTCAAAGTATACCAGTCCTAGCATTCAGAATGAAATACTTACAGTTTTTGGTCAAATGGTACGGGATAAAATCAGTAACGAATTACAGAAATGTGAATACTTTGCAATTATGGTTGACGAAACAAAAGATATAAGTAAAACTGAACAGTTGTCTGTAGTATTAAGATATTACCTGGATGGTATTGTCTATGAGAGATTTATGGGTTTCCGTGCTGCTGGTTCTTTATGTGCTACATTGTTACATGCGGCCCTTCAGGGATCCAAAGGCTGTCGTACTTTTACAATAAAATATAGTCAATTTAAAATATGAATCAATTGTATTTTATTAAAACCAATAATAAATAATGTAGTTGTGGTGAATTGCAGCGTCGTGAGTTGACTCGTTGTAGTAGTCGATAATCTCCGTGTAAGTCGTGTGTAATGGCTGTTGGCTAAGCGGCTCGCTCGGTCTTGGCGGCTCTGGTACATCTAATTTGTATTGAGGCCCTAGCCTCTATATATACGAATATACGAAGGCGACGCCCTTTGAATTGAGCGGCGCGTGGCATGTAGGCGCCCTTGGGAAGTTGTTGTGGTTCGAAGCGTCTATTCTAGCTATGACCACTTTTGGGTGTGGTCGACGAGGCCGCTTTCTACATAAGTGGTTCTTATTATTATGAGCGTTGTACATGAATTGTGTAATCCCATTACAACATCTTTATTTACATATATTAAAGAAATACTTAATATCAGTAATGTTGACATAAACAAGTGTGTGTGACAAACGTACGATGGTGCCAATGTAATGAGTGGTAAATTTAATGGCGTGCAAGCATTATTTCGCAAAGAAGTGCCACAGGCTTTATATGTGCATTGTTACAATCATCGTCTGAATTTGGTTATTGCAGATATCTGTAAAAATGTATCTGGAATTAAAATGTTTTTTGATTTAATTGAAAGTCTGTATGTATTTATTTCTGGTTCTTCTATTCATGCTCAATTTGTTGATATTCAAAATGCCATGAAACTAATTTCAAAAGTTGAACTTAAGCGTATTTGCTTAACTCGATGGACAGCCCAAGTATTTGCATGCTTAACAATGAAAAAAGCAATTAGTCCATTACTTGTACTTTTAAACAAATTAGCATACGAAAGAGGAGACCGTGCTGTAGAAGCTATAGGTTTACTTCATCAAATTGATTTTAAATTTATTTTAAATTTAGTAATGTTCTGTTATATCCTATATATGTTTAAAGGAATAAGCGATTATTTACAAAATGTAAGTGCTGAACTAGCTAATGCATTGATTTTAATATCATCTTTAGAATCAACCCTTCAAGATATGCGGTTAAAAGATACAGATACAACTTTTAGTAACATATATGCTGAAACCATTTCTATATGTGGTAAAAATAACATACCCATACCTTCACAAGATACTAATGTAAAAATAATAAAAAAAATACCGAAACACTTTGAACAATTTATATTTACACAACAAAACTCATTAGAAGTAGAATTGTATACATCTAAAATAGATTTAAAAGTCAATCTTTATTATACAGTAATTGACCACATTTTGTTGGAAATCAAAAATCGATTTTCCAATAATAAAGATGTTTTAAGTGCTGTCTCATACTTACATCCTGGTAATGAAAATTTTTTAAGTTTTTCGTACATTAAGCCTTTAGCCGAACATTATGGGGTCAATACTGATGTACTAAAGTCAGAATTAAAAATATTACCAAACACTATAAAAAAAATATGAATTACAAAATAATACAGAAATTAAAACTATGATGAAATTATTGGAGCTGTTAGAAAAATACAAGTTGGCTTTTATTGAAACTCATAAAATTGTACAAATTATCATAACTATTCCAGTTTCAAGTGCTACATGTGAGAGAACATTTTCTTGTTTAAGAAGGCTTAAAAACTATATGAGATCTCTTATGACAAATTAAAGGTTAGTGCAGTATTTAAATATGTAAAATAATATGACTAGTAAACTCAAACAATTATACACTTCTACAAAATATGTATTATTACATATCTTTAAAAATGCTATTATGTATAATACAATTATCTAACAAAATATAAATAAAATATTTCATTCATAAATTCAAAAAATATCCCATTGAAAAACAATCAAACTGGAACTTTTTTGTTTTTGTAAATTATAAGCATCTCAATTACTTAATTAAAATTAGATACCTATGAGATAATAGTTTTGTTTATTATTTTTTGTTGTAGGTTGAATAATTTGGCACTGTTGTCTATTGGAAAACATATTTCTAAATCATTAGATTTAGATGAATTTACTAGAAGATTTGCTGTAAATCATAAAAACAGAAGACTTATTCTTGTGTAAAACTAAAATGTACCTACCTAATATAATATAAAACTTAACCAACAAATACAGACATTACACTGTTAAAATGTAGTATATTTTTTTATAGATATTATGTGATAAGGAGAGGAGTGGTAGTGGGTACAAAAACATAAAGGGGCCAACAAATATTGGCTCATAGAAAAATTCCTGGCTACGTGCCTGTTTGTTTTTCCGAACAATATTGCAATCGACATTTTGTTTTTTGGGAATGGCACAACGCGTGTTGGGTATGTCGCACAGGACTTCCTTGGTGACACTTTCTATCCTGTCTCTAGTAAGCCTTATGAAGCGACTACATTTCATACTTTTTGCTTGTAGGCTGTTCCCTTTGAGATAATGAAACCATAATTCTGCACCAGAATTATTTGGTCTATGGCAGACTTTTATTTTGGAATATAACATAAGATAAGTCCACATTGGTATGACGGGTACAACAGATCGAATCAAGTCGCTGAAATATTCTTCGTTGTGAAACTCATTTGGAACGCCTTTACTGTCTGATGTAAATGATGCTTTTATGTCTCTCGACATTTTCGCAAAACGACCATAACACTTTGAAGCTTTATATTTTCCCTTTGATGATGGGTTTGTTTTCAGATCATCTACCTGCGTTCCATCACAATTTAAGGACAACATGTTTTCAAAATCTTTGTACTCTTTCGAATTCAACACCGACATATCGCTACTGTTAAGTTTAAGCAGGTAGTCGACGGATTTCTGGACATCGCCATTTTGGTAAGGTGAAAGTATAACAGTGCAAAGTGCTTTAAACCATTTATCCAAATCATTTGCCATTTTCAGGTCGAATGCTGGTGTTACAAAACCAACAATGATACGTGCAAGATCTTTGTTTTTATTAATTTTGCCTACTGCACCATAGTACTTGAACACGTCGTCTGAAATGTTTTTCACCAAGTGACAGCAACACAAATTGAGTATGATTTTTGATTTCATTTGTTTATTTTCGTACAAGTAATCATAACATTGATCTAGGTAGTCAATGACATCTTTGCACCCGTTAAAAGCCTGTGCCAGCGATTTGATTATTGCCGTAGAGAAATCACTAGTAACATTCGCAATTAAATCTGACACGTCAAAGCCGTGTTCTGTTGCAAACCGTTTCAATGCATATAACCAACTGGAAATAGCTGTTGTCGATTGATCGGTACTTATGAATTCCGCAACTGGCATCATGTGATCGTTTGCTTTTATTACTGCCGCATAGTACAATAAACGTTTTTCTTGTTTTTTTTTTAACGTAGTAGGTCTTATGACTGTACCCGTCGCGTCAACATGTAATGTGACTGGCTTTAGTTTATTCAAAACCATCAATTGTTCTTTACTGAAAATGTAACATTCAAAGTTATGACTTTGAGGGTGTGATACGTATTTCACAAATTCCGAGTTTACAGAAGCCATTTGTACCATATCTACTCTGTCATCGCTATCGAAATCAAACTTACTCAAAGTCTCGTGTGACACTCTGTTATACACACTGGTTGACCTTATTTGTTGAAGGTTCCCTCGTTATATCTTTTTTCTTTTTTATTTTCTAGATCACCACGTATTGTCAAAGGAAATATGTTTTTAGAATTCTTGGGAAGTGCTTTTGCATCTGCCTCAGGAGTGCTGCAAGCGACAATAGTTCCAGGCAGTTTTATTGGAGTTACAGCGTCGATCACCTCCGCCTCATTTGGTAGCACTATAGATTTCATAGGAGAACAATCATTACCGTCAACATAACTTTTATGATAACTAAAATTAACGGCTTGCGGTGAATGTGTAAATGCCTGTTGCCTGGAAATGTCTACTTCTAACCTAATTGGAGTAGAAGTGATAATATTAGAACAGTCAGCAACCAAAGAGTCATTTGTCTCTTCAATCGTTTGAATTTCACCACATCTAAGGAAACTATTGTTCAAATCGTCAGAGGTCCAATCAAGTTTGCATACACCATCATCAATCTCAAAAGTTTCATTTCTTTGCTTTATCACTGTACACTTTGGAGTCTCCGACTCTGTGTCACAGTGTACTTTAAAATCTAGTTTTCGCCTAACATCCCTTTTCAGTATTTCATTTGAGGATGTGTCAATTGTATCAGACTCTCTATTGCAGCTTGTCAACACTGTTATGTTTTCATTTTCATAAGGATTCTTACCTGAATTGTTGACCGTCAATTTTTCGTAATTGTCGTGGAATCCTAGTTTATTTGACTTACAACTTATGTTTGAGTGTTGACCGATTTCCACTACTCTGTCACAGACATCTAAATTGTTGTCAACGTTAGACTCACTGATGAGTACCGGCAAAAATGTATGTACGCCTTCACCACAATTTACAGATTTAGATTTCTTCGTTTATTTGATGAGACCTTTCACTCTTACGGAGTAAACGCATTATTTTCTTTTTACTTTTCGTAATTTTTTTCAGACTACACATTTCATTTACAGCTCGATACGGACGTAGTGCCAACTCATTTTTGTAAGGTATTAAACAGTTTATGTTTGTAGGGATATTATTTTCTCTAGTTCCTTTAATGAGTTTACACAGCGTTGAGTTGCTCGCTGACAATGCTTTTACTACGTCCTTGCTTAGTTTTTTGATATTATTAGTTTTAAATACCTCTTTGTAAATATCTATTATTCTCGGATCAGACATTTTAACAGATTCGTTTATTATAGATGGGTATTTTAATCTAATGTAATCGGCAACATCCTTAACTCTGTTCTTGAGAAATACTTTTTGAATAAGCCCACATATTTTTTTTTTGGCAAGAGATACTTCTATAATATTATCACTCTCGCCAAGTGGGGAAAGTTTTATTCTTACAGCATTCATTTTAACTACCTAATTGTTGTGTAATTTTAAATTATTAAATATATCATTTTTTAATAAATAAAATGTTACCGTTTATTTTATAATTTAAGGTAATTTATAAAATTAAACATTTCTAACTTATTCAGTTACATATATTATATTTTAAAAATTTTTGATAAGATCGAAAAAATCAACCGATTATTGATTAAAACTAAAAATAATTGTACACCACGGCACATTTTTAAATCAACTATAAATAATTACCATATATTTATGATAGGGAATATAAAGACGACAGTTGAACTTCGAATTTTGAGACCGAAGCCGGTACGCATAGGAAGGCGGAAGCTACTACTCAGTGGCGTATTTATGGGAGGGGGGTATATGGGGGATAGATCCCCCCATGGCCTTTTTTTTTTGTGTAAAGTTAAGTAATAATATTATGATAGTTGAATGCAATTTATGATTATGCCTAATAATTTCAACAAAATAATCTTATATAAGAACCCATGCATAAATATTATTTTTTTGAAAAAAATGTATATAACTACTGAAAAAAAAAATAATAGTAACAGTTTATAAAAATTATAAGATAGTTAAATTAATCCAGTCTCTAGTCATAAGTTACGACTCCTGACGGTTTTTTTCTTTGGAAATGGTATCCCTGACAATTGACAAAATATGGAATATAAACATTACGTATTAGATCAGGCTTTTTGTACTATTAAGTATTAAGTATTAATACTAAAACAGGGAGTGGGGATATTCGTTTCGCAAAAAACAGTAAGCTCTCGCTGGCCGCCACTCGTCGATTTCCATTTATCATTCTACTGTCTGACTGTCAGCACTTGTCCACTGTCCACTCAGTCATCTCTAGTTCGTATCCTTGTTGTAAGTATTATACTTTTAATTTTTTTTTACTATATAATTAATTTTTTTTTATATAACATTTATTGACGTTTGCGCTACATGTATCATAAAACAATATACCATTTTTTATTTTTATATTTATTACGGAAATTAAACATTTTTAAATCAAATTTAAACGTTTTTTTGAAAAAAACTAATTTTTAAATCTGGTATTTGAAAACTTGATTGTAAAAACATTTGTCTGACTCAAGTGGTTTATTTTTATTGTTTTTTGAAATGTCAACATTTTTTAATTAACTCATTAATTTGAATGAAAAGTTAAAACTTTACTAGGTATTTCAGATTTTAACAAATTACTAGTAATTGATAATTTCTCAAACAAATTTTTTAAAGTAGAAAATAAAAATTTTTACTTTTAATTTACTTTACTTAATACATTTTGGGTTTTCAGCTAAAAAAAATATTACATTTTAAAATGTTCTGTTCCTTTTGATGAAGGGGTACTCGAGTTATTATATTTATAATATTCATTGTTAGATGATTTTTAAGACTTAATGTAAAAATGTAAAAATAATAACGTTAGTTTTCTGTATAGTGTTAAAAAATAAGTAAATATACTGAAAATTGTGTACTCGTATACTCACTGTTGGTACTGACATCAGACATGGGCTAGGTAAATGTAAGAGGCTTAAACATTTAAATATACTTATTTAACATTAAACAGTCTAATTATTCTCAAAATGTCATTAGAATTATAATATATAAGTACATAAATGGAAATAATTTAAAATTATATGATATAAAATATTAAAACTATACTTAAAATGAATACATTTAATTATTGAATACACTTTTAAAATTATAGCCTTAATTAATATATTAAATTTTTAAAATTAAAGAACCATGGACATCCAAAATATTTCACCTAACAGCGAAGTTGTTGACGGCGGCATACCACCTAGCCGCGGCGGCAGGTCATCTAGCCGCGACGACGGCCATCGGCGCCGCGACAGCATGTCATATAGCCACGACGACGGCCATCGGCGCCTCGACAGCAGGTCATCTAGCCGCGACAGCAGATCATCTAGCCGCGACGACGGCCATCGGCGCCGCGACGGCAGGTCATATAGCCGCGACAACGGCCATCGGCGCCGCGACTACGGCAGCAGGAGGTCGCCGTCAAACACCAACACTTCCCCAAGTCGGCGCAGCATGTCACCGGTGTCATCCGGCCACCCCGTTGCAAGGGGTGGCCGTGGTGGCAAGGCAAATCGACCAGGACGCGGTTGGTCTGGCGCAAGCAAAAATCCAAACATGCAAATGGTGAGATTTAATTTATTGTAATATTTAGTAGAGATCAGCACTGGTCGTCTTTTTTAGGCCAATTTACTTGACTTAAAAAGTTGTACCTACCAGGCCTAGTCGTTATTTTTTTATTTTAAGTCCAACCCGACCAGGCCTTATCTATATATTTTAATTTAGGTAGTGGTAGCACTGTAGTACATAGCAATTATTGTATACAATTATTATCTTGTTGTATATATTAATTTGTAAATGTTAAGGGTTTGGGGGACACTGGGCCTGTTATCTATTGCTATTGGATTATTGCTAATATAATTCTCGTGTATTGTTTACCTATGATCTGAAGTCTGAACCTCCGAAAAACATGGAAACGTTTCCACACATCAACATGATGTTAGACCCAAGCTTACTTGTATTATGAAAATGTTTACCGGAACGTTGGCGGGGTACACTACGCGGGGTCAGCTTGTTGTACCATAGACGTATAATATAATAGACTAGGAATGATAGGTGTTGCACGTATAATACGTTGAAGCCGACATATGTGCGAGAGAGACAGACTGTGTTGCGGTTTTATCAGTGACTTTATATAACAATTTTACAAATTCTTTGGCTTTACTTTAGATAAGACTACTGATAAGAAAACATAAACACTATAATCGTAAAGTATTAAATATTATGATTTTTGATATTATTATAAATATAAATAATTATAAATTATAATATTATATTACTATATTAATCGGAATTAAATTACTATTGTTGTTTTCACTGTGATGTAGTTTAACGACAGGTATATAATCTACACTGATTAATACTCAGATACTCTAGAAACAAGATTTATATTACAAAGATTTTTTGGTTAAACCATTTAATCATTACAAACAAGGATAAAAAAAACAGTATATTTAATTTTGTAAAATCATTTAAAAAATACTATTACTGGTGTTTAAATAAAATTAATTTTGTATAGTATGACCTGATTTTATCATCTATTTCATTAGTACTTTTGTTGATGTGATGAAGACGGATCGTAATGTAATAATTTAAAATATACTTGATTAATTGTAGAAGATGGTTATTAAGTGGTTCCTGATCTAAGATATGAGTTGACAAATTTATGAAGTATTTTTCTATGTTTATATATTTCATTGCTGAAAGTGTTATTTTACTGACTGTATTAGGTTTATCTATTTGTTTAAATTCTCGTACTGTCCGTTCTCCAATTCTACAAATCTGGATTACACTGTTACTTGCCTTAACCAAGCCACCTCGATTTTTTCTGTTTAAGAGTTGGGACCCTGATGATTCTGATTCTAACTCAGCTGCACAAACTAAACATAGAATATTTTTCTTCAATTTTCTCACAACAAAGCCTGCTATGTAAGCCACTATGTCATCTATAAATGCAATGTGTTGATATACAGTCAGTACATCTTCTCCTATGTTGTTTGTCCCAGCAGTACATAGCAAATCTAAAAGTTCTGTTTGTTGATCCTCTTTATTTTTTTTCACACTTGAAACGCGAAGTACTGAAGTGTCATCTAATGCCATGCAATTAGCATTACTAGATGATTTTACTTCAGCATGAATAATTATTGCTTTATAGGCAGCTTCAAACTGGGCAACCGTAGGATTGTTATTATAACCACCTCTTGCTCTGATAGCTGAAAACAGCATCTCTATATGGTCTTGGCTAAATTTGTACGATAGTATGAATGATAGTTCACCTGTTGAAATTAATTCTGTTGTTAGATTAAGAAGACTTGTAAGACTTATAATAAGACCCATAAAACCAGTTTTCCTTTCAGATGTTAATATTGATCGCAATCCTATTTTTGGTTTCTTTTCCAAGCACTGAAGACTTTTTAAATATTCAATGGAATCTTTAATATAAATTGTTATTTCATGTTCTGTGAAGTTACTAATTGGTTTATTGTATGGACTTTTACTTAAATAATTTCTTGTATTTAATATATCAAAAATGTTATTTATCCTCCGACAAAATTCAACAGTTGGTTCGGCTCCATCAAATTCTGTCATCTGCAAATCATTTTTACAATATAACATTGCATCTGCAACACTATTGCTGAACATTTGCACAGCTAAACTGACTTTCATCTTCTCCTTAAAGTAACGAATGTGTCGTGTTTTTATTTTAGTAGCTGCATGAACACCACTCTCATTCTGAATGTTAACCAATTTTTTAAAATAATTCCATTTAATTGCTTCATTATTAGAGTTATAAAGTAGAGCCCAGTCTCCCAAAGTATTTCTTAGCAGTTTTACCATATGGCAAGGGTCCAATATAATATGCACAGTATCTTGTGTAACTGGATGCTCAAAATAAGGTTTTAAATCAGGATAATATAGACTCGCTCCTAGCACAGAAGCCATTGCAAGATTGTTAGCTGCACCATCAAATGTTAAAGTTTTTATTATTATACCTGTATCCTGAAGTTCTATAAGAATAGACCTTAAAATATTTGCCTTTTCTTCAGCAGTAATACCTTTTATTAAATAATATGCAACGGGAATTTTCCAAGAAGTATTCATTCCAACAACTACAAATACAAGTGCATCCTTAGCGTATGGTAGGTTATCCATACTTTCTGTACTACCACCAGGTCCATAGTCCACATAACCTTGATGTCTTGAACCCGTCCACTGAACATGCTGTTTTATGCTCATTTCATCCATAATTAGACAACCATACAACTTTTTATCAAGATTTTTCATTTCTTCAGCTTTTACAGAAATTGCTTTTAAGGACTCTTTTGTAATACCAAGCAAACCATTTACAGCAGTACACCATTTTCTCAGGGTACTAACATCAGGCAGAGCTTTAGAAAATATGTTTCTAACATATGTATAGGCCGATGGAGAGTAAAAATGTAGGGTTAAAGCAAATTTTCTCAATTCAGGGGTAATCGATTTTCCCTTTGATATGCGTAATTGCCTCATTAGTAAATGTTTTTCTTCTTCAGATCCAATGCTCTGTAACAGCAGATAAATTAATACGTAAAGTATTATGTTCAGTGGTGAACAGACACATCTGGGACAACATTTTACTAACCCCCCCCCCCCAGAAATATTAATTTAGATAATAAATAATAAATATAAATATATTTAATATAATTATTAATAAACTTCAAAAATTAACAAACCACATTTAAAAACAAATATAGAAATAAAACTAAAAAAGTTGAAAACTGAAAATATCCATAAATAGCTCAAAACAAGTCAAAAAGATTTACTCTACTAAAAGCTGATGGCGACAGACAAAAAAATAAAATAACACAAATTATTGTAAAATCAATACATTCATTGCTCCGCTTTTAGAAACTAAAAATATGTAGTGGTAAACTATAAAAATTTGCCCCAGTTGCCACCTCTTAAATGTTAAAACTAACATGCAACAATGCAACATACACATACAATAATTAATTTTTATTTTATTGATCATCAAATATAAAACATATAATACAATATGATACATATAAAAACTACTATAAAAAAAATAATTAGTTATTAGTTATTACAAATTAACTATTATGTTAGAACACAGTTATGTATGAGAGGTAATATGCAGTAACATAGGTCAAAGTAAATTAAACAAAAGCCAGACAATTTTTAACTGCAACACATTCATGACCACGTGTCAGCTATAGTTGACTTAAGAAAATATTTGTTGCTATAAAGAAAAATGTTTTGAATTTTTGTGGTTGGATTTATCTGAACAATGACTAAATTATAATGTGGTCATGAACGTGACTGTATAATATGACCAGTATACCTTTAACAAATAAGAACAGTTAGCCGACATTTTATTTTTTCTTTGCAGGTCATCAACCAAATTATTTAAAGTATCCACTTTTAACTGGAGTCGGAGATTTTTCTGATTGAGCAACTTGATTTTTTTGTGTTTATTTTGAATAGTACGCTGATAAGTGGACCAAAATAATTTTCTTTTTCGAGGTGTCTCCAAATCTTCTTCTTTAAAATCACCGCAGTACCGCATCAGTTTTCTTTTTCTAAAAAAATATACATTTATGTATACCATAACTCATATGCCTATGTCCTAGCTAGTGTGGATAGAAGAAACAATGCATTGAACTTATTAGAAGCAGTATTTTATACCAGCAATAGATTGGACATGGCCTAAGCCAACAGGCAACATATCTCAGTCTTTTATAACTACCTATTTAATTTAATTGTTTATAATTATAATAGTTACCTTAAAGGTGTACTACTTTTAGTAGGCATCGATTCCAAATCTTTTTTTGTAGATAAAGCCTCTTTAATGTAAATATCTGGTAATTTTTCAGGTTCTGCTAACATTTTCAAAATTTTAAATTACATTGGTCATTAATAACACAATTTAAATATATGTTTACCTAACAAGACAGTAGGCTGATCCAAAAGTTTATTTTCAACTGATATGATTGATGATGTATGTTTACAGTAACTATGTTTAAGTTCTATTTATTAATGTAAATATAATATGTCAACCTTCATAATTCTAAGCAATGAAAATTAAATAATTATATGTTTACCTATTGTGGCAATAGAAACGGCAGTAGCCTGATACAATATCTCATTCCTGCTTGAAGTCTCAACCGTTGAAATGTTTTCAGTTTCTATTAAATCAAGAGATTTATTTGTTATCACGGTAAAAATTATTTTAAATGAATTAAACAGTGTAAGGTATGAAAAAATTAAAAATAGGTACCTAATAGGTATTTTTTTTTTAATTATTTAAGTAATTTTTTACTAAAAATGTATTACCAAACTAGTATTAATAATACATGTTATGTCTTCAATACCCACACCGGTTTAATACAGTAAATCTAACTATTTAGAAAAGGAATAAATATAAATTTTAATTTTGAAAAAATATATCTACCTAAATATAGATATTTACCTAAACTTTGAGCTAACAGTTCATCACCTTCTAAAAAATTATTTTTCTGTGTAGTAGTTGATGATACAGAATCATTTTCCACAGTCCCTTCAAATTCTGTAAGGAAAATAATAACCAA